CAGGTGCTTGAGGATATGCTTCATGCTTGTGCGTTAGATTTTTAGGGCAGTTGGGAGGATCACATTCCATTAGTTGAGTTCGCATATACTAACAGCTATCAGGCTAGTATCGGTATGGCACCGTATGAGGCACTTTATGGTAGACCTTGTCGTTCACCTGTATGTTGGGCCGAGGTTGGTAATAGTATTTTTTTGGGGCCCAAGTTGGTGCAAGAGACTACGGAGAAGGTTGCCATCATTCGAGATCGACTTTGCGCAGCTCAGAGTCGATAGAAGAGTTATGCAGATCGACGTCGTCGATTTTTGGAGTTTAGTGCGGGTGACTTGGTGTTCTTGAAAGTATCACAGGAAGGGGGTTACAAGATTTAATAGGAATAAAGGGAAGCTAGCTCCTCGATTCATTGGACCTTTTGAGATCACAGAGAGGATTGGGGAAGTGGCGTATAGATTAGCTTTACCACCCAGACTCTCTGCTGTTCATGATGTTTTCCATGTCTCCATGTTGAGGAGGTGCTTGAGGGATGAAACTCAGGCTGTTGACTGCACAGAGGTTCAGTTGCGCTTTATTACAACCTATGTTGAGACGCCTGTTTGCATTGTTGACCGTATGGTGAAACAATTGAGGTGGGTAGAGATACCTCTAGTGAAGGTGTAGTGGAATCATCAAGATGAGAGAGAGGCTACTTGGGAGTTAGAGTCAGAAATGAAGGAAAAATACCCATATCTCTTCGAATAAGGTTCACAAATTTCGAGGATTAAATTTCTTTTTAGAATGGTAGAATGTAATACTTGTATTTTTTAATTTTTATTTAATTGAATATTTTTTATCTAGTTGACTTTTTAAGGAATATTAGTGTTAATAGGTTTCCTTTTAAAAAGGTATCCTAAATTATCTCATCTACCAGTTATTGTTACTCTTTATAAGTTTATCTTGCTCTGTATATCAAATTACGATATTTTATAAATCGAAAAAGAGATAAAGATAATAGGGTTATACAGAGTGAGTAAGATCTTACGTCGCGTACCTGCCTGCAGTTTCTGGGAAGAGAGTCGGTGATCGGAGATTCGTATAGTATAAGGGATTACCGTTTCCATGCAAGTTAATCTTGCCTTATAATTTTATATATACGACCGACTTGCTTATTGAAGTTTTAATATTAAATTCTGAATTATGTATTCCATAGGATACAGATCATCTTGTTAATATTAAGCATTTATATATATATATATTTATATACATATATATAGAGAAGTGATATGCGTATGGATGTATAATTATTATATACAAATATAAAAATTTATATATATACATAATTATGGCTTGTTAAGTATTTTATGTGATTTGGTAGATAAATTGATATTTTTTATATGTTCATGTGTGTATATATATAAATTTTTATATTTGTATAAGTATAATGTGGATTCGTTTGTGGATACAAATTAAAATCAGTTTTAGTGGACTAGTAATTTATGTTGGAGTCCAGAATAGCTTGGGTCTTATGTTGGTCTAGCAATGAAGGTTTTAGAAAACCTTGACTTTTATATGTGCTTTGGAAAATTCTTGCAAATTAATTAGTTAGATGAACGTTTATATAAATCCTATGTTAATATAGTTGAACAATGGGATCGAGATCGGAATGTGATAAACAGTGGCCGATTGTAAGTTGTTTTTGCTTACAATGATATATATATATATATATATATATATATATATATATATATATATATATATTTGTTGTATTTTAATGTTAGAGAAATTAGAGAAAAATATTATTAATATTTCAAAAATTATGATAATTTTCAAAAAATTAGATTAAATGTTATGAGCCTAATTGTGAAGACTTGTCAAATTTTAAATGACGGTTGGGTGGTTTACCAATTTAAAATCATAAAATTTATAGTTTTGGGTCTCTAGGCATTATGTCTATGCGTGTATATATGTAAATATATATATAGTTCATTATCAGTATTGAATTTGAGACATTTAAAGTATATGATTAGGTATAATCATTGGTTTTATGGTATCTATCAAATAATATATCTTCCTTAAAGAAAATACAAAGTAACATGACCATGATCACTGCTGGGTTTTGATTACATGTATTATAGAATTGTATTTATTTATTCATTTACTATAGCATTGAAAGTACATTATTGTTTGTTGATAATATGATTAGAGATTAAATTGGGAATTGAAGGTATTGTAATGAAATTACAAATATGGCTTCTTACTGATCAGATGGAAATGAAATGCACGTTAATCTATGGATTAAAAATAATTCATTATACATTTTCTCATATAGATCAGTATAATGGCTAATGGTTAATCGGAGGGGAAGTCAGGGATTGACCCGATGATGATTTGCTAGGTCTGGTCAGGTACCTGCCCATTTGCAAGTGCACTACCCTTTTATTATGGCCATGGGTCTAATGAACCCTTATTGTGTGGACGTGATCAGGGATCATCTGGGGAGTAGACGTACAATCCAGTCACACGTGTGTTTTTGACAGTCAGGGACTATACGATTCACACCACTTTATTAAACGGGAGCCGGGGGCTCGTATGAGTTATGTTGATCTAGTAAAAGTAAATGATGGTTGTTGAATTTTTAATTAATAGGAGATTATGCAATTTTTTTTTAATAATACACTTAGTTGAGTTGCTTTTATATATGAGAATATAAGGCATGGTTAGCTTGCTGAACGATGATTGTATTTAGCATTTCTTACTGAGCTTGTGAGCTCACCCTATTATCACATTTCAGGTGCTCGTAGAGTAGGAACGTGATAGAGTTACATAACGAAGACGGATTTTAGCTCGTTGCACATTTACTTATTTTTATTCGATTTTCCTTTATTATGATCATTGTAATAAAGTTGGTGTTTTGTGAGACTTTGTTTAGTTAATTTAGTGGTTATGGATGTTTTCTTAATGTAAGAGAAAATTTCACCTTTATTCATTATTTGTATAAATTTGTCCGACTCTCAAGTTAATAAATTATATGATGAGATTTATCGTAATTCTAGTTATGGTGGATGTATGTTGAGAATTTGTGGAAGTTATACTTTAGATTTTATATTCAGAACAAATTGTTTTTGTGTAAAAATTTGGGGTGTGACAAATGTAATTTTATTTTTAATAATCTCATTATATATATATATATATATATAATAGAGAGATTATACGGGTTTGAGGTAAAAATGATTCTAAAGATTTATCTTAAAAAGAAAAGTTAACATTCTATTTTACCATAATAAGATATATATATATATTGAGATACCAACCCTGTCATTCAAACATTCATACGTATACACGCGCGTCATTATGTATAAAATAATAGTACGTGGGTTAAAATTCCATAATTATAAAATAATTATATGTATTGATACTATATAATCTATTATATCATACGGATATGATATAATAGTACATACAATATGTATTGATACTATATAAAATAATTATAAATAATAGATAATGAATAAAGTATTTTTTATATTATTGCAATAAAATTAATTTATTATATATCTAATTTCATAAATAATATATATTTAAAATTGTATGCTATATAATCTATTATATACAAAATAAATAATAATTTATGATATTTAATATTTTAAATATTATTGAGAATATACAAAACATCTTGTATTAAAAAATATAATCCATATTTATAATATATAAATTAACACTAATACATAGTATTTAGATATTAGTATAATTTATCATACATAAAATAAAATAAAATAAAATAATTTATATAGCATATGTTACAAACACAATAAATTAAATATTATAAATAATACAGCATTACACAAAATATTATAAATAATATCGTATTTTAATTATATAACATAAATATATTTCTGGCTATTAATTTAATTTACTTTTTACTAACAAGGGTGATTTAGAGAAATTAATTAAAATTCATTTATTTTTTATCTTTAAACTACTAAATTTTTAGGATAATCACAAAAACTCTCATTTCATATCCAATAGATTAAGGGATATGATATTCGCACTCCACTTTTTAACGTTTGTATTACTCCTTTAAATGACATGATAATTATAATTCTTACTTTACAAGTAAATAATTATTACTTTTTAAATGACATAAGTACACTTTTAGATTTCCTCTCCTTATCTCTAATATTTAATATTTTAGGTATCTTTTTAGAAGACAAAAAAAAAGTAATAATAATAAAAAATAAAAATGAATAATTTTTTTTTTACGAGCCCAAATATATATATATATATATATATATATATATATATATATTATGTTGAATAAATTGTCTTTTTGACCGGAACAAAAAAATAAAAAGTAATTATTAAAAAATAGTAAAGAAAGTAAAAAAAAAAAAAAAAACTTAAAGTTATATAAAAGGTAATTATGGCATTATAAATTAAGGAATGTTGCATTAATGAATTTAAATACCTTTTCGTATTTTTCTTTTAAAAAAAAAAGATAAATAAAATGTAATTGAAGAAAAGTTGAATATTAATAGTCTTAATTACCTGATAAATGTCTATTTATTTCTCTCTCTTAATTTGTCAAACAATTTATCAGAGCAACCTATGAGTTGTTGACATGTTAAATACTTTCTTAGAGGTATAGTAAGTTTGTAAATAATTGTCATTTTGAACACAAATCAAACTCTTCTTAAATAAATATTTGATACGTTTGAAATACTTCAGCTAACGCAATGTCAACTATTTAAAGAACAATAATATTGATATGAAAAACGTAGAATTTTATTAAAGAAAAAACGAAGTAATGAGATAAATGACAAATTTAATTCATATGTTATCCATGCAATATAAATTATATATAATTCTTAACTTTCTACTCTTATTTGTTTGTTGTAATTCTATTTAATTTTTTTAATAAAGAAAAGTTAACAATCAGGTTAATTTGGAATTGGATATCTAAAACTGGTATAGGAAGAGCGCACTGAACAACTTACCAAACACACCCTTAGGAATGCTTCACGGGTGTGATGATAACCCTATTTTCCTCTATAAATATATAGGGCACGAAACAGACCCACGGCAAATTGCGCCTCCCACCCCTTTCGTTTTCTTGGGCTTCCTGTTGTGCCTTCTTCCATTGTCTCTCACTGATGTAATTTTGAGCCTACTCAGGTACGAAAGCATGCCTGAGTCTGTTCATGTTGACTCGGATTTTGTATTATTATTAAATTTTCTTTTTACTGTTATCGTCTAAGTTATATTTGGAAGATAGATCGCAGTGACGACTCATAAAATTCAAGCTCAACAGACCGGAATGCAGGTTTCTCTCTCCAGAGAAGTTTGCGTGTCGATTATCCCGCTGAACTGAGCGATCTTATCTCTATATATCTATATGTCTGTACGTATATATATATATATATATATATATATATATTCATATGTTAATTTTGATTTGTTGATTTCTTCGTAATATTTGTTCAAAAATTGCTTTGGTGGGAAATGAAGGGTTACGATGAGGTTAAAAAAGCTCCCTCTTCCGATAGTCCAAGTTGAGGACAGACCGCTGGCAGAATCGAACCTATGACTTTATAATGCCACTACTGAGTAATCTCATTTCCCTATTTTCACATCTCTTTATTTTTCTGTTTTTAACTCTATTATTATTATTTTTGCACTGAAGTATATTATTAGTGAAGTTGTATTTTTTTTCACTGAAGTATATTAGTAAAGTTGAATTATTTATTTATTTATTTGTTATTTTTATGTTTGTGATGAGGATGAATCATTAGTAAATAATCCAACACTTTTTTCAAGTGATGCTCAAAACTTTGCTCTTGAATCTTCGGGCTTATGATACGATTTTCATGCATTTCTAGGTTGTTTGTTCTATTGTGGACTAGTCTGTGCAATAATTTTGTTTAGAGCTTAGTTTTAAAGCTGAGTTTTGGCACGGATCGCCACCCATGCTTTGTTCAAGCTCTGTTCAATGAATCTTTTTAATAAGTTTGCTTACCAAGATTACTTATCAATCACATTAGCATAATTTGTAACATATAAAATAAGATAATCCTTGAAATCAATTTTTGAAACTTCCAAAAGAAAAAGAAAAAGAAACTGCTAACTAATAATATTTATAATTTAAATTCAAGTATAAGTCTAGATGTGTGTAATCATCTTGTAGGAAATATTTTACTTTCTAACAATTTTTTACCATAAATGAATTTAATGGACAATTTTTTTTTCCTCTTAATTCTTGATGTTTAAATTTTTTGTAAATTGTGGATGATGACCAAGGATGAAGTAATGGATTCTCATTTTGTTTGATCTACAATGCCATGCTTTTGAATTGATTATTGTTGTTGGTGTTTTGATTGTTTTATTTAGAAATCATCAAATGATGAAGTATTAAAATATCTTAGGACACCATTGGACACGGCCTTTTGAGGTTGTGGATGAGAATGATTGTATTCTGATGATGATTACAACGAGATCGATTTCTAATAGCTTTGTGAAATTTGACTTGAACTCGTTGCATTCAAAAACATGGTGCTTGTTAGAATTTATTTATTCATTACAATGTTTGATAAGTGGGCATGTTAGGAGTTTAATGGGCTTGTTAGGATTTATTTATTCATTACAATGTTTTGATAAGCGGGCATGTTCGGAATTTTTATAGAACATAATTGATATAGTATTTGGTTTTCAGAAAGATTTTAAAGATATGTTTTTATTTATAATGTCTTATGTGGCATAACATTTTTGTTAATATTAACCATCATAATGCTCTTGCTCATGTTGATTGAGATGTTACCGGTAACACATTTTATCTATATTAAAGGTGAAATATGGTTTGCAATGATTAAATATTTGTATATTTTTTCCACGAGAGATCTATTTCAATTTTAATTTTTATTAGTTTATTTCAATTTTAATTTTTGTTAGTCTATTGAAAACATGCGTGAGCCAGTTTATGTAACTTGGATTTTGAATTATTATTATATTTTCTTATTATGGTTATCATCTAAGTTGTAATTTGTTAGATAGATCGTGACGACTCATAAAATTCAAGCTCAACTGACCGGAATGCAGGTTTCTCTCTCTAGAGAAGTTTGCGTGTCGACTACCCCACTGAACTGAGCGATCTTCTACCTATATCTATATATTCATTTGTTCATTTATTTTATTTTAATTTGTTATATTTATTGTATTTTCTTCAAAAAAAATGTTTTGGTGGGAAATGAAGTTGCGATGAGGACAAAAAAGCTCCCTCTTCCGATAGTCCAAGTTGAGGACAGACTGCCGGCAGAATCGAACCTATGACTTTATTATGCCACTTCTGAGTAATCTCATTTCCAAGTTTTCACATCTATTTCTTTTCTGCTCGACTCTTCCTCTCTATATATTATTTTAATTGTGATAATTTTTTTCATGGTATCATTTATATATTTTTTGTTAATTTTATGATTATCTTTGGATGAGAATGAAGCAGTAGTAAAAAATCCGACACTTCGATCTGAGAATTTACATTTTTGAAGTGAATCTCAAAACATTGCTCCTGAATAATCATAATGATGACTTTATGATTATGTTGATGATTTAATGTATTCCTAGGTCTTAGTTACTAGATCAATGTTATTTGGACCTAGTTCCCTAGTCAATGTTTGGTCGGACTGGTTTATGGGTCCCATCCAATTGTGGATACATCCAATTGTTGGGTCCCATCCATGGTATTGAGGGATGATACCTCATTCTTTTATCAATGTTGGTGTGAAAAATAGGTTTAAAATTTCTAATAAGGTATACTTTCAGTTTTTTCAAGTTGTATGAGGTTTTTATTGTTTTGTTGGCTAGTCTTCAAATGAACGAAGCTTAGACGAGGTTTAAACTGTCTAGACTGGTGTTTGTTTGTGGGCTAAGCCTTGAGATTGTGAAGAGCTCAGTTTCATAAACTTGGGTCAGTGCACTTATTATCACAATTTTGAAAAGATTGGATTAGGTTTGGCTTGATTTTGAATTTTTCTTGCATTTGTACTCTATTCAAGCTTGGTCTGAGCTTATAGCTTGTATTCGTAAAGCTATCTATGAATGAATATTCAATCAGTTTACTTACCTAGCTTTACTTGTCAATTTCATGGTAACAATAGTTTTAAAGAAATATTTTCTTAACCATTTTAGGATGTCAATCTAAAGATATTGGCAGCTTCAGTTTAGGTTGTGTATCACAATCTTTGTCTAATATTTTCAACTTCAAAACAATATTCTTGTATTGAACTTGTATGGAATATTTTCCTTTGAACAATTTTAGCTATAATGAAGAACATTAGGTGGACAATTTTAGTTCATTTTATTCCTTGTTCCAACTTTGTAAAATTGTGTATAATTACCAATAATGTAATGGGTAGTCATTTTGTTTGATGTCCGATGCTTTTGATTTGATTATTGTTGAAGGTGTTTTGGTTCTCTGTTTGTTGTTCTTTTATTTTTCTTTACTCTATTTATGTGTGTTTATGTTTAAGTAAGAAGTCATCAAATGATGAAGTATTAGTAAATCTTAGGACACATTGGACACAACTTTTTGAGGTTGTGGATGAGAATGTTTCCATTCGATGATGATGATGATTATGAGATCGTTTTATGTTTTTAGTGGCTTTTTAGAAGTGTCCATGTAACATGAACTCATGCATGCAAGAACATCAAAATGCTTAATGGGCATGTTAGGATTTTTAATTATTGATTGATAAGTGAGCATGTTAGGAATTTTTATGGAACACAATTGATATTTTATTTTACTTATCAAAAAATATAATTTTTTTGGTGTTTCTAGAACGAATTTTAATATGTTTTTACAAGGCATGCCTTGTGTTGCAGAAAATTTTGTGGCTATTAACTACTTATCATCTTTTTGTTCATGTTGATTGAGATGGAACCATTTTTAATAACACTATTTTATATGAGTGAAATTTGGGTTGTAATTATTAAATTATTTGTATTTATTGTCCACAAGTGAAAATTATTTCAATTTTCTTACTTTACTTTGTTGTTAGTTCTTTTTGCACTTTTACTTGCCACATTGTTGTCGTTACTTTTTATCTTATAATATTTATCTTAATAATTAGCATGTGGTTCCCCAGTGGACTATGTTATATGGTGGAGTTGTGTTAGTTGGCTTTTGCCAACTCGGTTTTTATTTTGGAAGTTGTAAAGAAGTTGGTGGTAAATTATATTTTTACTCTGAGGTGTGTATCAGTTAGATGTTCAGAATGCCTTCTTGCATGGGGATTTGCAGGAAGAGGTTGATATGGTACAGCCAACTGGTTATCTTGCTCCTGGCAAGTCAGATTAGCTGCCTTCTTGCATGGGGATTTGCAGGAAGAGGTTGATATGGCACAGCCACCCGGTTATCTTCCTCCTTGCAAGTCAGATTAGCTTTGTCTGTTTGAAGAAGTCTATTTATGGTCTGAAGCAACGTGTGCATGGTTTGACAAGTTTAGTTCTCTTTTGCTTCAGTATGGTTTCTCATTAGCCATTCTTCTTCTGGGATGATTATTCTTGTTGTCTATGTTGACTATTATCATTATCAGTGGTAGTGTCTGGTATTATGGCTCGCTCATTTGCAACATAAATGTTGGTACTCTTTCAATTCTGTTAGGGTTTGATTCAGTATTTTATCGGTATTGAGATTGCCCGTTCTGGGGATGGTATTAGTCTTTCTCAGTGCGAGTATGTCATGGACGTGTTGTCGGAGACTGGTATGCTTGCTGCTCGTCCAGTTGTGTCAGCATCATGTGGGTACCCCACCATGATTCGCAGGCTCGTACTCAAATAGTTGCTTAGTGGTGGAGAATTTTTTTTAGATGGTCTTGAAACCCCAATCACCATTGTCAGCATCAGCCAAAAAAAAAAAAAAAAAGCAGACTAATAATAATAAAATTTGCAGGAAGAGGTTGATATGGCACATGGGCACAGCCGCCTGGTTAACTTCCTCCTTGCAAGACAGATTAGCTTTGTCCGTTTGAAGATGAAGTAACGTGTGCATGGTTTGTTAAGTTTAGTGCTCTTTTGCTTCAGTAAGGATTCTCATTAGCCGTTCTTCCTTTGGGATGATTATTCTTGCTGTCTATGGTTCGCTCATTTGCAACATAAATGTTGTACTCTTGATTTGGTATTTTCTCGGGATTGAGATTGCCCGTTTTGGGGATGGTATTAGTTTTCTCAGCGTGAGTGTGTCATGGATGTGTTGTCGGAGACTGGTATGCTTGGTGCTCGTCTAGTTGTGTCAGCATCATGTGGGTAACCCACCATGATTGCTTAGTGATGGACAACTTTTTTTTAGATGGTCTCGGAACCACCAATCACCATTGTTCGCTGCCGCCTTGCATGGGGATTTGCAGGAGGAACCACCAATCACCATTGTTCGCCGCCGCCTTGCATGGGGATTTGCAGGAAGAGGTTGATATGGAACAGCCACCTTATTATCTTCCTCCTTGCAAGTCAGATTAGCTTTGTCTAGCTTTGTCGGTTTGACAAGTGTAGTTCTCTTTTGCTTCAGTATGGTTTCTCATTAGCCATTCTTCTTCTGGGATGATTATTCTTGTTGTCTATGTTGACTATATTTTGGCTCGCTCATTTGCCACATAAATGTCGTACTCTTAGAATCCTTTTAGGGTCTGATTCGGTATTTTCTTGGGATTGAGATTGCCCTCTGGGGATGGTATTGGTCTTTGTCATTGGGATTGATATTGCCCATTCTGGGGATGGTAGTAGTCTTTCTTAGACTGGTATGCTTGGTGATTGGTGATCGCCGGATCTTCCAGTTGTGTCGGCATCATGTGGGTACCCTACCGTGATGGGTAGTCTCGTACCCAAAATAGTTGCTTAGTGGTGGAGAATTGTTTTTTAGATGGTCTTGGAACCACCAATCACCATTGTCCGCATGAGCAAAAAAAAAAAAAAAAAAAAAAAAAAAAACTAAAAATAATAAATGTTATTGCATACTTGTCTAGTAGTGATTGGCCAAGAACCAGGTTGTGATGATTGAACTTTTTCAAAATAAAATAAAATATTGTAACTAGTGAAATTAGTGGGTTGATTGAATTTGTTTATTTATAACGTGAATTTAATTGACTTTTTAAATATTTGAAGATTCTGTTAATTTTGAAGGTAATTAAAATTACACGTCTTTTAGTTATTATTGTAAATTAATATTAATTACAAATTGTGTTTTAAGACTATAGTTAGTATTTTAATATAAAAATAACATTAAAGGTATTTATAACAAAGAGAGTATAGATAAAAAAAATAAACATACACAATGGAATTCTGAACTTAATTAAAAGTGTATTTGTTAAAAGTAGGACTTTACATTTGCTTGTAAATTTATTAAAATTAAAAATAGGCCTAATTAGTAATTTTCATTTTCATAAAAAGTTTTGACCAAAATTAACAAATTCGGATGTGATTTACAAAATTTTGAAAGGTAGGAGTGCAGTGAAAAACCTCAATGGCGGGAATTGTTTTCATTAATGTTATTTGGGCAGTTCGGTGGTGATTCTTCTTTTTATCACCAGGTCTATGGCCCCTTGTTCTGAGGCTTCTCAGTTATGGTTTTGCATCCAAGACATGCACTCTCAAGTTTCTCGCTTATTTTACTTTCTCAACACTTTATGGGAACGCTGCTTCTATATATTTTTAGGTAGCTACCCAAAGGTGGTGTGACGAAAATTGTACAAAGGGTTGTGGAACTAAGATATATTTTGTGGGTGTTAGATGCAAGGAAGGCATTATTGTTTCTCTATTCTGATTAGTAATCATCCCACTCCATATATAGTTGCCTTCCTTACATCTAACCCCCACAAATATATATATATATATATATATATATATATATATATATATATGTCTTAGCACTACAACCCTTTTATTAATTACTCGAATTCCCGTCAGACCACCTTTTTAGATGTTGGGGGTTAGATGTAAGGCATGCATTCTTGTTTCTCTGTTGTGAATAGTAATCATCCCACTTCATATATAGTTGCCTTTCTTATTTGTTATAAAATGAACACGGCCAACAACAATAACTCCTTCATAAACTCCATTTTCCTGCATCATCTTCTATGTATGATTGTGAACCTGTCTTCGCTTTATGAAGAATGTCACTGATATCATCTTTTTTGTGAGACAAAATTTGGAAATGGGGGTCCGATGCTGTTAAACCCGAATTATTTATGGCATTAACATTCATCACAAGTTCACCATTTCCATGCTTGTAAGAACAATTTCACCATCTAAATCAGACATAAATGGTACTCCGTATATAATTATTAGAATTGCATTCAGTATATATATATATATATGAGAAACAAAATGTAAGGGCCAAAACACATTCAAATAAAGAGAATTCACGAAACCTAACAAATATAAGAATCTAAATATTCGTAGATGACCTTTTGATTGTCCTGAAAGCATATTATGGTGCAACTAGGAAGTTGGTGGATGGCTCTTAATAGTTTCAACTCGTCTAGAGATGAACAAAGATAAAGGGTACTATCTTTTTTCTCTCATGTAGTCTCTAACAGTTCCAATGCAAATGTGCTACCCTTGCTATCTCATATATGGGGCTCCCTCTAACTCAATATGGTCTCAACAATAACCCAATTTTCGCGTTGGTGGACAAGTTCAGCAGTAAGCCTACTTCTTGGAATGGCCTCAATCTGTCTCTTGCAGGAAGGATACAACTTTGTTAAATAAAACCAGGAAACTTCATCTTTCGTTGTTTGAACGAGTAAAGGGGGTTTTGGGATCAGAAGGATTTTTTATATCAACAAGGCTGCCATGTGTATTCTAGTATCCAAAGACTCTCTTTGGGTTGCTTGGTTCAAAGCTCGGGAACTGCAGTCCCAAATCCCTCTCATTCTCTTATATGGAGAAATATGCTTGATGTAATGGACTTTATGCTTCAAAATGTTACATTCTCTATTGGCAATGGTGAGTTGTTCACAGATCCTTGGGTGTCAAGGAGAAATAGTGCTAAAAGAATCTGGGCATCGTATTTACACACGCCTTGATTTACCAGGAATTCTAATATCTCTGAGTCGATTGACAATGGCAGTTCTAACCTCCCACCTATTTCTGCTGCCATTGTTAATCAGTTCAGAAATCTCATCTTATCTATATACCCGTTCATCAATTCAGTGATGCACTCAAATGGAAGAATGGTAATTTTAGTTTTAAGGCCGCTCGGGATACTCTGAGAACTCATCACACAACAAAGTCAAGTGGTTCAGGCTATGGGGGTCCTCCTGCAGGCCTAGAGTTTTTGTCACTGCTTGTTTACCACTTCAAAAAAAAAAACAAACTTCATTACTGGGCTGCGATTGATAATATTGATCATTTATTTGTGTGTAGCCCCTTGGCCAAGAGTGTTTGGTGCTTGTTATTTTCTCTTCTTCGTTGGGACTTGCCTCACTGTTGTTGTTTGAAACAGCTGCAACATTGGTTCCTTGCAATGTCATTATGCAGATGAATGAGACCAGAAATATTAAAGTAAACCCCACCCCCCACCACGTAACATTAAAACAAGTCCCACCTTCACGTTCGCGAAAGTTTCCTTCCAAGAAAAATATTTTTGAGACCAAAGGGTTGATTTTCAATATTTTAGTTCTTATTTTTTTTACCGTAATGTTTTAGTTGGAACCAAGGTTTAGACCTATTTACGTGACATCAGCTCTCTAATCTTCATTGATTTCATGGAAAATATTACAGATTCCTATTATGCCTGTCTAAAACTTCAATAAAAAATCTTGAATTTTTTATTATTTTTTTAAAAAAATTATGTTCCAAAAATACCCCAAGTTCCAAGTCCAAAAGCCACGTCACTTTCCTCCTCCACTACCACACCGCCACTGTCACCACCGCCACTGTCACCACCGCCACCTTCTTCCACCACACTTACTAATTCTCTAACCTTAACTTCACGAGCCAAAAAAACTAAAATGTTCCTTCTCTCTAACCTTAACTTCACAAGCCAAAAACTACTTGTTAATTACTGCTTGATACCATGTCAACATTACACCACTAGAATTTAAGTTTTCCTAGCAATCCTTGAGATATGTTGTCATGTGATACCCCTCTCAATGAATGCTCTCTATTGTTTTTTGATAATAGACAGAGCATTCATTGAAAGGAGTACCACATGGCAACGTACCCAAATGATTAAGACTGTGAAGAGGTGATAGTTCACTTGCTCCCGATGTGCATGAGAATGTATGCAAACCTCAAGTATTATCTGTCAGGTCCCATTGGACAATTTAAAAAAGGTAGTTTATGCTTTTATATCCAACAGTTAAGATATATATGCAAACCACAAGTGAACGGTCCTATATATGCATACATGTATAGAGAGAGATAGAGGGGATGTCATCCCCTCCATCAATGCAGATATTAACTAGCTGCTAATTATAACTTAAATGCTCTAAGGCAGTGTTCAGTTGCATAAAGTTAGAGCTTTGGAATTGGTGAAATTGAAAAAAGAAACAATCATATAATTGAATCAAAAAAATTCCAATTCCACCAATTTCAACTCCAAGGTTCCAATTCCATGTAGCCGAACAGTGTGTGAAAAAATTTACTGCCAAATTCAGATGCTCTAAAAATACCAATTAAAATTGAACACATCATGACAGCACATATAACTATAATAAGCACTGCACAACAAAGATTAATCAAGCAACAGAGAAGTTTTACTATTAGAAAACTCATAGCAGCATCCCAATGGTGGCTCAGATTCTAGACTATATATCTGGTATAATTTAAAACAGGGAAGAACTTAGCTCCCACTAAATGATGAAATTTTCACTCGTAAATCCAGGGATGAAGGCTGCTCTGCCAGTTTGCAACGCCATCTGGGAACCACAGTGCAATCTCTTTACAAGCACTCTCAACTGAGTCACTTCCGTGAATAACATTCCTGCATATTTATTTCAAGAAAAAAGAGAAAAAAAAAATTTGTCAACAACACGATGAACCAATCTGGTAAAGCATTGTATGAATCAACCAGCAAACAATAACAAGTATAGCAAGACAAAATGAAATTCGTCGATGTGGTGGTTACTTGTAAGAAGATTTGAGTTGGTTCATTGCAGTAATAGAGCAATTAAAAACTAGAAGAGAGAAGGCAGATACAATTAACAGTCAGTGTGTCAAATGAAACCACAAAAAGTATAACCTATTGCATTACTCAACAGGAGAAATAATAAGCTCATTTGATTTCAGGATAATTTTGAAACGCGCAGTTTTTCCCTAAACGAATACATAATAATTCATCATCTGTTGGCCACACTGTTTCTACACACTTCTATAATCTATAGCAAACACAATCAGAATTGTACAAGGTGCTCAAACCAAATAGAAGATTAACTCAAGCTGAGAAATTCAACCGATGAATTACAACATTTCAGCAAATAAACAACAAAACCAACGTCTCAAGATTGAGGGAAAATAAAGTAGACAAGTTTACAGTAGAAAAAAAAAAAAAAAAAAAAAAAAAAAACCAAAAAAAAACAAAAACAAAGTTGAATAGCTAAAAGTTTTACCAGAATTTGGCAATTCAAAAGAATTCAAATCAAACTTTTATCCAAAATTTGGTAATTCATACAAATTCAAATATAGTTTTTCCATTTTTCGGTGACTAATAGAATCATTGTCAAATAAACAAGATGGATAAATCCAACTCCAATCCAGTATCTAATTTTATTGATGCTATCATAATTATGTGCAACTCCATCTAAATAATCCTCTTTCTCGAACTTTTTCAATAATTTACAAAATATAATTGCTAAAATCAATAACTATTTCACAAAGTGATAGTACAAATCAGAGAATAATGAAACAATGCAACCAAACAATCCCAAACTACACACAACAATGAAGGATCATAGGTAGGTTATAGATTTTCAGTAAAAGCCAGGTACCTTCCAATCTCAACAGCAAAATCACCACGAATAGTGCCGGGAGCAGACTCAGAAGGGTTAGTTGCACCAATTATCTTCCGGCCGGTTGTCACAACTTTTTTGCCTTCCCATACCATAGCAACAACAGGGCCAGAAATGATGTACTCAACCAAGCCATTAAAGAATGGCTTCTTGGACAAGTCCTCATAGTGCTTCTCAGCAAAAGGACGTTCCACACTGATAAGCTTCAACCCTAACACGTACAGAAACACCCAATTGCCGATAATGAAATCATAAATAGAGTATAAAACACATAAAAAATATAGTAAAAAAATATAAAGACTCAAAATTTATTATACCTTTCAAGGTAAAACCTTTTTTCTCAAATCTGCCTATAATCTCACCAACCTAAAAAGGGGGAAATCGAATATCAGAATCATCTCCGTTTGAAGAAATTCCGGAAGAAAATTTACCCAGAAGTTGTACATAATGTATACATGTACGTACAAATCTATACAGATAGATACATACATCACACAAGTTTGAAGAATATAAATACAAACAAAAAGAGTGGCTAATTTATAATTGGTACAAACAAATATTCATATTCAGATTTGTGTGTATTACAGGTATATGTGTCTATATAGATATGAACAATATAGAGAGAAATGGGAAAACTAACCAAGCCTCGCTGGACGCCGTCGGGCTTGATCATGATGAATGTCTGCTCCATTTTCGTCTCTGGTTGGCTCTGGCTTCGGGTTTGCAATTTAAAATGGAGAGAGACACTAGTGAGTGATGAGAGGCGTTTTATGGTACTGATATATAAACCCTAAACATGTCATTCGGGGTGTCTGTTGGACCAGGTCGGTCCAAGATTAAGAAGCCCTGTCCTTTCTTTTGGGCCAAGTTCTTCTGATTTGACAATACCTCGGCCCACATTCTAAGGATTTACTAGTTAAAAGCTACTCCTGAGCCACAAGTAGTTCTTCTTTTATTTTTATTTTTATTTTCTTTTACACTGTGTGAGAGAAAGAAAGAAAGAAAGAACAGAACAGAAAATGTGGGCAGGAAGAAAATTTTGATTTTTAGTCTTTGTTAAAAAATAAAAAAAACAATAAAGAGGGAGAAAATGAGAAAATATAAAAATATTATTTATTATATACCATTAGAATATTAGATGTAATATACGTGAAATAGTGTCTATTATATTATATCCGGTATCGAAATTATCATAATTTATATTCAATTTATTAATTTATTGAATAAATATTTGAATCATGGGTAAAGTGTAAAAAACTCCCTTCAACTATTACCTTTTTACAAATAATTTTAAATTAAAAATTCCCCGGAACTATTGTATTGTAATTAAAGACAAACTTATTGCAAAATACTATTTTACCCTCGAGTAAATTGCACTAACACCCCCTCAGGTTTGAGTTAAAGACAACCATATACAACTTAAACACTTTTTGGACAATGACACCTCTCAGGTTTGGTAAAATGAGCAAAGACACCACAACCATGATAAAAAGTACGTACTTGCACTTTGACTTCCGAATTGACTCTGTGAATCATTAAATTACCTTTATAACCTCATATTAATTGACCAAAATGATGAATGAAAAAACAAATATGATTTTATTGTGACATGTTTTATTTTTATTTTTTCTTTGTTTTTGTGGAAGAAAAATGTGACATGTTGTGTAAGTAATGTTTCAATAAATGCTAAGAAATAAAAAAATTAACTTGTGTGTGATTACTTGAAGGTGATATTTAATATTTGAATATTAAAAATGGTCTTTTAATATTTAATATATTACTACGAAATAATAATAAAAAAATTTATTTAAAATTTGTATTTCTTGCTTTTGAGGTGGAAAGTCAAAGTTTTGTATTAGAATTTTGTTTAAGTATTAGATAATATAACTAATCTATCTATTTCAGTGAGGGCATTAAACATGCCAAAAAAAATATATATATTCATACAATGATTTTATATTTGTAGGTGCAAAATTTCACTCAACCAATAACGATTAAGAGAAATAAAACAACTCACTCAATCAGCAATAAAAATATCTAAGAACAGTATATAGAAAAGCGTAGAATTGCTTGGACGCTTGGGACCCCTTTTATTGGAGATCTTGGCCTCTATTTATACATAAAAAAGTAATAGAATTATGGTAGGACTTGCATTGCTTGTCCTCCAATTCTTTCCATGTATGACTTTCTTTACAATTAGAGTTCTTTCCATTATTTAATTTTCCATGCACAGAACTTGCTTTGTGTAGAACTTTCTATTGCAGAGTCTTCCTTCTATGGTAAATCCTTCAACTTATAGGATTTGTCCAATCTTGAATAACTGGGCTGGCTATACCTTTAACAGGCTGGGCTTGAATAACGGGCCGGATGTTGATATTAGCAAATCGGGTTGATAACCTTTTGATTCGGCCTGGATAAAGGTTAGAGGGCAAATAAGAGTGATCATGGGCTAAGAATACATTCAATTTGGGCTTGCGCATGACGGGCCTTTGAAAGACAGATTTACACCCGTGATGACGTGGAGTAATCTTATTAGAGGGGATTTTTTCCCTCCACACTTTGCCCCCAATTCCTCTTTAATTGGACTACGGCTCCTAATTAAAAGGGAATTGAAGTTGTGCAGTTACCACTTTTGCGCGAGGCGTTTCCAGTTGTGCTTTTGTTCTTACTGCGCTCGTTTCGTCCCCTGCGTTCTTCACATTCTCATATCACCAAGTTAGTTCTTCATCTTCTTCTTTCAATCTTGCATTATGAATATTTTGACTACTCCTGATCATGTAGAAATCGCGGATTCTGAATCCATGCTCTCGTCTTCTTCTAACCTCATTAGGGTTCCTCCTCTTAGGGTTTCTAACTTCCTTAGATCTGCAAATGACTCGGCCAATCAGCCTGGTATTTCTCCATTCCAGGCTGAGACATCCACCTCTGGGTCGGATAGTGTTTTTACTAACGAAGAGAGAAATGCAATTTTATCTGTTCGTCGTATTAATTTTTCCATTGAATCCATAATAGAGGATTTTGAGATTCCCGAGGAGGTAGAAATTGTAGAATACCCCAAGGGCGCCGATTTTTGTGCCGGTGAGGGCGTCGGCGATGACAAGTTGCTCCTCTTTGTTGGGCACCTCAACGCTCTTTGATTCCCTCTTCACCCTTTTTATCATTTAGTTTTTAACAAATTAGGGATGGCACCCCTACAAGTAAACCCTAACTTCTTCCGAATAATCTTGGCATTCCTAGCTCGCCGAAGGCTAGAGAGTCTTGATCTGACTCTTGCTAACTTGCTGATTACTTATGCTATTTCTAAGCACGGTACCGAACCTGGTCGCTTTTACTTTACCTCTTCCTCGCACCAGAGGATATGTATAAACCTCCCTTCCTTTGAAAAAAGTGGATAGAGAGGATGATAACCGTTAGAGGGAAATGGGCTGTATCTCAATCGAGTAAGCTCCCAATCCCACGCAAGTTTGGGAAGCTAGGTATAGATTATACCCCCTCTCTACATAAAAATTGTTCTGGTTGTTCCCCATGTCGAGTCTTACTCTTTCTTTATATTTATGAATTTTTTGGTCTTGTTTCAGTGACATTTCCTTCCTTTACTGCCAAGAAGAGACTTTCCTTTCTTGAAAAGCAAGTTTGGTGCGAGCCCCCTTCTGTTGAAGATTTGCTTACTTCTGCAAACCTTAAGGAAATTGTTCTAGAGCTGTAGCTGCAGACCTCATGGATCTATCTCTACCGACCTTTGACAGCTTCTCAATGACTGAGGAAGAAAAACAGAGGGCTAAAGCCCTAAAGAAGAAAGCTGTTGAAGATCGACCTTTGGTAGTCATCAGATCATATAAGCATGAGACAGAGGTTGACGAGCCTCATTTGAAGAAGACTAAGCCCAATCCACCTTCCCACGGCAAGAGTAAGACTTCCTCCAAGAGCAAAGGGAAAAAGGCTGAAGAAACTGACCCTGAGGAAGAGGTCAGAGCATATGTTTTGTCTGAGATCGGAGCACCTTGGACGCCCTCTTTCTCAAGAGCTGATAAATCGGTGCTTCACTCCGGTGATTCTATGATCACCGACCCATCTGCTGCATTGGCAGTTGCTAGGGGGATGTGGTTTCTCAAAGATGAAGAAATTATTGGCAGAATGGGATTGGAACAGTTGCTTCCATCTGCCCCCGTTCGAGCCATAGAGGTTTGCTCTTCCTTCTTCTTCTGTTCTCTTAACTTTCTTCTCTATTTTACTTACATTGCTATTTTTACTGTCTGATGATGTAGGGCTTGTATCATACTATGGCTTTTTATGCCACTGTTGAGGCTCAGTCTCCTTCCATCAAGAAGTTGGAGAAAGACCTTAGCAATTCTGAGAAGAAAACTTCAAATGCATCTTTGAATGCTGAGATTGCTTCTGAAGCGAGGGTGTCTACAAGAAGCATTTGGCCAAGTCTGCATCTAAAGTGGAGACATTGGAAGCTGAAATTCAGCGTCTTAACGAGGCAACAAAAACTTGTGTCATTGCTGGGAGACAGATGCAAAGCCGTTACTCCACTCTCGTGCGTTTATCAAGTGCAAAAGCCTATCGGTCTGGCTTTAATCAAGGCTCATCCAGAAGTTCCTCCAGCTCCAAGTTCATCAACTCCTTTAGCTGCTCTTGGCCCCTCAATTCCTCCAACTTCAAGTCCAGCTGTGGTGGACGCTTTTGAATCTGCTCCATTTGATCCGAAAAAGAAGTAGAGTCGTGTAATCTTGTTCTTTGTAATGAAACAATACTTTTAGAATGATATAACTCTGTTTTACAGGCTGTGATGCCTTAAGTTTGCCTTGATTGAATATTCCCGAATGCTCTTAATATTGCACACACTTTGCTGAGCGGTAATGTTTTGAGTAAAGTACCCTGTCTGAGGGTTCCATATTTGTTGTAGTTCGAAGCAAATATAGATAAGAGGTGAAGAAGGGATCTCCTTTGACAGTTTACCTGATGTCTGAGGATTATTTTTTCCTCTAGTGACTTAACTGTTAAGGGAACCCTTCTTGCCATGGATTTGTGTGGAGTAAATATGTATATACTCGTTTCTTCTTGTATTTTTCGATGTGGGACAACTCCGTGGCTCATACTAATGGGCTTAGGGTGAGAGTTAGCCAATTCAATTTCCACAGGACATTTGCTCTAGGCACCTTAAAGCCTGAGACGATTGGTTCCTTTGTTTTGAACCCGAAAAGTAATATATTGAGCAGGACATTTAGGGTCTGGGGCGAATTATTCCCCGGCGCTGAGCTAAGGGGAAGTATGCTGAGCCGAACGTTTAGGGTCCGAAGTGAATTATTCCCCGGCACTGAGCCTGAGGGGAAGTTTGCTGAACCGAAAGCTTAGGGTCCGAAGCGAATTATTCCCCGGCGCTGAGCCTGAGGGGAAGTTTGCTGAGCCAGACGCTTAGGGTCCGAAGAAAGTTATTCCCCGGCATTGAGCCTGAAAGGTAAAATGCTGAATTTGGATACTTAGGGTCCGAAACGATTAGTTCCTTGGCGCTGAGGCTAAGAGGTAAAATGCTAAATTTGGACACTTAGGGTCCGAAGCGATTAGTTCCTTGATTTCTGTATTCGCCTTAGAGGAATTTTATTGATGCCCTCGGACTCTTGAGGTCCGAGGCTTGTATTTTCTTTGATACATTCGGACTCTTAGGGTCAGAAGCTTGTGGTTTTTTGGCTTTGCGCCTTAAAGGAATTTATACTGATACTGTCTTAGGTGATAGTATTAACTGAGGATAACTTCCTTAGCTTATGGGCTGCCCTCA